CCCTACCGAGTGTGCTGCACATACCTGAGTGCAGCGCTGCACCCGGCCACTATGCTGCACTTAGCTGGATGCAGTGCTGCACATAGAGACTGTGCTGCACTAAGCTGAATGCAGCGCTGCCCCTACCGAGTGTGCTGCACATACCTGAGTGCAGCGCTGCACCCGGCCACTATGCTGCACTTAGCTGAACGCAGCGGTGCATCTAGCGAATGTGCTGCACTTTGCTGATTGCAGCGCTGCACTTAGCGACTTTGCTGCACATAGTCAAAAGCAGCGCACTTAGCCGAATGCAGCGCTGCAACTAGCAAATGTGCTGCACCTATCTGCAGCGCTGCACCTAGCGAATGTGCCGGACCTAATAAAATCTTGTACCACATGTATTGCTGGGTATGAGGAAGAGATAATACAATTGTCTTCACAAACTCATTTATTAAGTAAAAGTTTCTCATAGCCCTGTCCATATCTCAATGTATCTTTATTATTTATTGTAGATGAGTTATGACTATTCACCTCATTCCGAGCGCGATTCTTTTTACTCCATTTTGTAACTCCGCGCCTTTTTTTACATCTCCATTTATGATTTTCGTAAACTAACAAGGGTAAAATTATCCCATAAAAAAATTCTTGGGGAAAAATTTAATATAACCTGCATATCGTTGGAAAGGCTATTAATAGCGGATTCACTATGTGCTAGTTTCATTTTTTCACAGGACATGATTTGCCCAAAGTAGCTACGCAATGTGTAAAAATGTTGTCCTTTCGAATATTAATTAATTTGCATGAAGTCATGTTTGATTTATAATATTTTACAACAAAAGTCTCGCTAAGTTCTATTTTACTTGTTTAGCAGAATTCTGATAACGGCTTTGCAGAGCTCTGCACAACAACTTTGATAATTAAATATAACTTGACACCCTTATTAAAAAATTGAAATTAAAAACTTGATGGGATATTAATCTGGAATGTTCAATGTCAAATACGTCAAATACGGAATCTGTTGTTTGCAGATATGTACACTATAGCGCATATTAACAAATTCTAAATCCCGTTGCTTTGTTAATGTTTGATACAATTGGACGGCATATCAAGAAATTATTGACAGAATTATCGTCCATACAAATAATGATGAATAAAATTCCGACTTTAACCAAGATATTGCTCCCAAAATAATTATAATATCACTACAATCGGTAAATTAATAATTATAAAAAGTTAATCTATCGAGCTGAATGCATCGCTGCACGTAACTACTACTAAGCTGAATGCAGCGCTGCACTTGGCG